AGGAGTTCACAACAAGGAACAGACAAACCCCCTAAACAGTTAGAATGATAATTAAAACAAAATTTAAATATTATATCTGACTCATAATGTGTCTGTATGTCTGTATGCTTACATTTTAAATCATATAGATGTAGTATTGCTGCCTAACGAGTGGTTACTATTACAAAGTTCTACCGGGTGGTGGCGATATTACATTAGGCAAATTATACAAATGTGAACGTAGCATGCATGTAACATTAGCATCATGGTGAACATATAGTGTGGAAGTTCTTCTATGTTGTAAGGCACCAATGTGCCACAGCGATGAAAGTCATCCTCATTACCAAGTTAATAAATATACAATATGTGATTGATTATAGCACTTTGTTATCATGCTAACAACATACATCTTTACAACACTGAATTGAAACTACAAACTATGATCTCTACTCCACAATATTAAAGCCAAACCATACATCTTTGTATTCTAAGTGTCCTCTAATGCATACAACTACAAACACAGGGTTAGTTATACCTCACTAATAACTGCAACTGCATATGTATTAAGTTAAACATGTTAATATGAAAATATACTAACTATTGTTAATTTACCTATTTATACTTAGATAAACTGTATCTTCGTGTTAATAAACACAAAGGTGAACAAGTCACCAATAAACCATTTTGAAGTTGAGTTACTGAAACTCTTGACCTTTACATAAAACAGAATGATGCTCATAGATGACAAATAAAAGAGTAGCTAAAATGTATCACGTTTATTAAAATGACACTATATTAGCTAACTTGCCTAAAAAAATAATTTTCATTCACAAATGATCAGAAAGTAAAGCCAAACATTCAGTATTTATTTAAATACAATTCAACAAGTGAGAGCGGACATGATTATGAAGGCATGAGGTGTACATGGATCCAAGTGTACAATCGACGCAGCTGAATATCTAAGACTTGATATTTGATACTGTTGATGCCATCCGTTTTGAATCTCTTTTTCCCACCACGTAAGAAGTAAACCCTGCAAAGATGGATGTTAAAGACTTTGTAGTAATTCAATAATTATATTGTTTTACGCATTTTCCGTTTCATTCTATAGTGACATCATTCGAACAACTGAACTAATGTTTTTACTTTATCTGTAAACTGAGTTACACGATTTTTAGTTTCCAGTTTACCTCTACCAAGAAGCAGGAAGGCTTCTATACATCTTCTACAATAATAGGATCATTGAGTACTTTTGTACATTTATCTTCTTTACTCTTACTCAAGTACACTATTTTCATCATTCACATGCATCCATATAACCCCAGTTATAAAAATCTTACAACCTGAATTTTATAGCACTAGTTGACCCTTTCAATTTTATTTATCTCTCTATATCAATACTCATCTTACCGGCTGAAGAACACAATAGTCTGGATTGAATTCAAGAAATTAGTATACATCATGGGCATACAATATTATGAGATGAATTCTACTTATCATATGATTCAGGTGTCATAAACACATAATACAATGAGTTGAACTCTACTGATCAGTATAATGCTACAAGCATAGTATACTGCGGCTTAAATTGTACTAATTATCATCTTACAAATATACACGGAATTTGATATCCCATAATGCATAATAACTCGTTAATTAGTAATTTTATAAATTTACAACATTTTCTACATACCTCTCTGAACTGGGTTTGTCTCTCTTGTGAGGCATCATGGTAAAACGACCAGTAATATTTGGGGAACGAGATATGAAGAGACCATGGTATATTAACCTGTTTGACATGTCATCGTCTTCTCCTCCCCAGCCCCAGAATTTGTTGCTGAAGCCGTTCACAGTTCGAAAATGATCTACTGTCAGGCCACGTACACCACCAAATAACATTTGATAGGGCAACCTGTAATGACACCATAAATCACAAGCAATCAGAGTTGTAAAGTAACTAAATAAAATTACTTGAATACTGCACTCAAATAGCATTTTTGGGCAATTACTTTCAAAAAGTACTTAATTTTTTTAGTAGATTTACTTTTACTTAAGTATGGTTTTCTTGTACTTTCACTCAATACAATTGAAAAAAAAGACTCGTTTCTCGTTACATGCAAACTAATAATGGCGTGAAGGTAACCTTCACGGTGAGGGGAGGCACTAAGCAGTCACCTACCTAGAGGTCTCGTGAGGTGAGGTGACGTCAGATCAGGTCAGGTGGCAGTGGCCATAACAACAAACATTCCCGTTAATCTTCTTGTGTTCATTAGCAGCGGATCTATTGGCCCATACAAGGCAGCCCCGTTTACACCCAAACCCTATCGCTCATATATCCGCCCATCCTACGAGCATATTTGAAGTTATCCAGCGTATTGGAGTTAATGATGAAGTTCGGTAACTTGTTTCACTCATCAACTACTCTATTTTCAAACCTAAATCTAAATTTGTCTAATTCAAAACCATTGCTACGAGTTCGCTCCTTTTTGGATAGTTTCAGTACCTTTGTTATCCCACAATTGTTTAGCCTTGACTTTCATTTATACAACTCCATCATATCGCCCTTCACTTTACGTCTCTCGAGGGAGTGCAAATTAAGGTGCTTTAACCTGTGTCTGTACTCAAGGATCCTAATGCCCGGGAATAGTCTTGACATCCTCCTCTGTATGCTTTCTAGATATTCGATATCCATTCTGTAGTACGATAACCAGAACTGAACCGCGTAATCCAAGTCTTGTAACTAACACTCCTTTGGGTCGTCAGACCTTTGTATTAGTATTGATTTATTTATAATGCTGTTTAGTATATATATATATATATATATATATATATATATATATATATATATATATATATATATATATATATATATATATATATATATATGTGTGTATATATCTATGTATAAATATATATGTTTATATATATATATATATATATATATATATATATATATATATGTATATATATGTAATATTCAGAAATTTCAGAGTAATTTCAAACGCTGCGCCATTGGCGATACTGAGTTTTCAAGGTCGTCGGAGGGAAGAGAGCGCTCCCCGCACATAGCGAGAGGTTGTGGAACTAGGCCTATATGATATTAAATGTAATTTGCCGAATTAATAATGATGCGATTCATGAAGTTAAGGGACTATTATTGAATTTGGAATTATTATAGATCGTTTATCAGTCTGAATAATGTTACGGGTGTCCCAAGGAGTTATTAGTTAGGCGGAAAATATGTCACGTAGGCCTAAGCTAACGCCTTGAGAGGGCGCGACGCTGGCTGGTCCTCAGTCACGTGGAGGCATTCGGTCCAGCAAGACGTCCCTGCGCGTCCGTCACAGAAATAGTCACGTGGCCTAGTCACCTGTGTTGCGCTATTGCAGTATAACAAGTAAGACTCACTCGATGTCAGACAGGGTTTAGATAGGGCAGTGATAAAGTTAACAAGAGCTAACAGTGAGTTCATTTCAGGGTTTCCGTCAGAACCCACTTGACTGCGAGAAATTGACTGCGAGAGTGATGACTGCGAGAGATTGACTGCCGTTTGAGACTGCCGTTGGTGATTGAGGATTGGCGATTGTCGCCGTTGGAACGATCAGTGTAGGCTTGTCACTGGTTAGCGGGGTAGCAAAGGATCTCTTGAATGGACGAGTGCTCCCGACAACTAAAACGACTCGGGACCAGCATCAGCATTGGGTGATCAGTTCTTACCACGTGGGTGCACAGCACCACGTGCCCTCGGTCAGCTAGAAGTATTACCTACTGGCCATGGTCACCTGCGGCCGTTCTCTCTTCCCGCCCATGGACGCACTGAGAGTACACTGAGGCAATCTGAGTAAATAAATGGTCACACCCTGAGACCAGGTGTCTAGGGGATACCTAGAGGAACATTTTATCTCCCTTATTACGGGTGTACGTTGAGTTGGGTGGAGCATGGTTCACGGGCATTGGTGGACCCAGTAACATCTCAATAATAGTGACAATATTTTTGTGGGTAGTTAATACCATTTTTCAGTTACTGATATTATCTTGACGTGTGTAGTAATAGTTCCTAAATGATTTTGATAGTATTGTTTTTTAAATGTTTGTGTCACTTAGTAGAACCAGAGTGATACTGTGATTTAATTCCTTTAATGCATCTAATTTTTCTTTATAATTCCGATCTCAGGTATAACCTGTGTTCCCCAGAGTAGTGGTTAAGTTAGGTTAGGAAGTGTGCATCTGTTGGGGTGATACAATTTTGTTGAAGCCCTTAAGGCCTATTCATTGTAGAGTTATTAATTTCTTATTTTTTTTATACCATTTTCTCAATGCTGGATATTATTTTGTTGAAAGCCCTTAAGGCCTGTTTCATGTGTGCAAGCAACATTTCTTAATACTTTAACTTATTGTTCTCTAATGAGGCATTGCCTGAGTTTCTAATAATTTCAATATCATGTATAACTTTTATTCCCCAGAGTAATATTTAAGTTCAGGTTAAGAGGTGGGCATATTGGTGTACCATTAGGGTGTGTCATAGGAGGGAAGATCAGCTAAAACTAATGGCCCATCACTTTTTTGGTAGATTTTAGTGTATATAAACAGAAAATAATTTCAGTTTCAATATTTTGCAACCTTTTGCTAGGTAAATTTTAGCGTGAAATTTATCGAAAATCTAACGTACAGCTGCATTAGTGCATTACAATTAAATAGTGAACATTGCTTTCTGACTTCATTCTTTAACAACCCAACTAACAATATTTTTTCTGTTTCAAATTCTGATGCATTTATAAGTTGATAATATTTGCGATGGCTGCTTGTGTCAGGACGAGGAACCAAAAATCCAGCCATCTCAGTCACTATCTTGGGTCTGGGAGAGAGCTCCTGAAGTCGGAGTTGCCTACATTGAGAGATGCTTTGGAATGCGGTGTTTTAATCAGGCAAATCAGTGAAAAAGAATAAAGAACTTACTGAAACAAAGACATTGCCATTGATATGACCAAGCTGTCTTGGCACAGTACACTCTGGCTAACGCTCAGTTCAAGCCTCCAGTCATAACAAAGTCAGAAGAAGATTATTAAAGAGACTGCTAGCCAGTTGGGAAAAGGCCGAAGATATCTCTCTTGGGAAGGCTTTGCGTGATTAAGGACCCCGGCTTTGTAACCGCTGGACCGGATATTTGACATAATTACTTGCAAGTGCTTGGTGTTCTCTGTCCTGAGTTTGGATGCGATCGTGACTGTAAATCGAAACCCTCTACCATTTGCAAGCGTGAACTGAAGATTCCTGTGATCGAACTGGCATTTGTCAAAGCACAGAGAGAGAAGACTGGCAATATAGGGGCTCTCATGATTTCTAGCCAAGATATTCCGGAGTCCAAGAGACAGGAGGCTGCCACAGAGAGACAGAAGAGGAGAAGAGTTGCCGAGGAAAAGAGACTTGAGAAGGCCCAGGGTGAGGTAAAAAAGGCTGATGATTGGAGTCAAGCTGATTCAGAGTTTAATGACTTCCCCATGGCTGATCCGAGTGCTGACCAGGAGAATGGTGACTTTGTCCACAACTGAAATAATGATCTCCCAAACCTTCAAACTTTAAGATTCGAAATAGGAAAGATATCCCGAGCATAGCTCTGGCCAGCATGCGACACCACACTGGTCTCAGAGAAACTGCAGAGATAGCAACAGCTGCCTGGATTGACGGTGGTTTGATAACACCTGATGATAGATCATAACAAAGTAAGGAGAGCTCAGGAGAAACTTGTCAGTAACCTAGAAGAGGAGTTTGATAAGGGGATAAGAGAAAATGGAATCAATTGTTTGTTCTTTGATAGGAGAAGGGATGACACTAAAGTGTTCATGAAAGTTGGAGATTCTGACAAGTTGTTCCCTGCCATGGTGAAGGAGGAACACTACTCCTGCTGCAGTGAACCAGGAGGAAATATTTGTGGCATTTCACTCCAGAAAAGACCGACATCAGAAACCAGCTGGATAGTGGCAGATAACGTGTAGACTGGCAAAACCAGAGGAACGTAGACCAGGCCCTGCAGGCCATTGGAGGGACCGCCTGCCCAGACACAGAATTGTAGGGGTCATACAGTGGATAGAGCGGAAGATTGGGAGGAAGCTGGTCTGGATTGTTTGTGACCTCCACACCAACGAGTTATACTCAGACATCTGATCCAGGAGCTGGATGGCAAGACTCTTTCAAACAACAGATGGTCTGGTCCTCTTGGCAAGATGCTGGACTCTGCCACTGAGTTAAAAATAAATCCGAGCTTTGAAAAAATCACAGTTGGCCCTCCACTCGTTGAGCTTGCACATACTGTCATTGACGACCTGAGTACTGACCAGTACTATGGTTGCATGATTTGCAGTGCCATCAAAACTGGGGTCATGCCTGATAGACTTGCTTACCTGCAGATAGGTCCAGTCTCACATTCTAGGTGGCTCACAACGGCTCTCAGTTTCTGCAGAATTTGGGTCGCTCATCATAAACTGAAAGGGAACCAGCTTCACAACCTGAGACTTATTGTCCAATTCATCGTGAGTGTCTACTTGCCAAATTGGTTTAACACCAAGGTCAAGTCATCGTTCTCCGAAGGTCCGAGGCATGATACTCTTCAGCTTGAGGACTCCTGAGAGTCAGCCAAGGAGGATTGTTCAGATTATGGAGCAGACTGTGAGAGAATCTTCTAGTATGCTCATCGAGAGCAGTTCTACAGACAATGCTCTGCAGTAGGATATGAGGAGGAGAGAAAGAGTGGCAGTCAAAAGATCTTGGATATGAGACTTGCGCCAAGAGATCTGGGCAGACAGATCAGTTGGTGACAGTTCGCTTCAGGGTCAGGAAGACTCCTGAAGTCAATCTAAGTGCCAAGACCTGCTGATCTCTTAGATCTGGATAACATCCTGGCTGGCAGTGAGCCCCCTCTTACCTGCAGCCTCACCAATGTTCAAGTCAGAGCTTTCCTGGACAAACCCA